AGCGGAGTTTCCTAATTAATGAATGGTAAAAGGCTTGAAATTCCTGTAACGCCTCCTGAATGCGAACAGCAGTGATGTTACTACAGTCCCTCTGTTTTCCCCACTTCCTCCCAAACTGCCCCTGCCCCCTAAGTGCTCAATCTCAACAATCTTACAGAAAAATAGAGGACTGTGAACAGTCTAAGGAATTTTCTACAAATTTATTTTCCGACGCTGTTACATTATGCTAATGAGGTTAAAGCTAATTAGCATAATGAAATTCAACACCTCGTGGCTTCAAAAGACGCTTCATTTTTTAGTTTTCCACAAATTATCGGGTTAAAAACTAGCAAACATGAATTTACTGATAGAATTCATCAAAATAAACAAGGCTTTGAAGGCAAAAACTTAAGCAGAAAGGAATTCCTGGGGTTTGAAGAGTATCAGAGAGTATGTGTGGAAGACATGGCCGGCTCGGCGAATTGCATGCAAAGATTCTCTATACTGTTTTCTTACCTCGATTTTTGCTTCTTATCCTCCAGAATGCTTCAAAATAATTTGCTTCACTTGTATTTGGTCAAAATTCGTCGATACAAGCTTTCATTCTTTGCAAAACCCGCAACAAACCCCTTGCCGAATTTCTCAGTTTTCAAAAAATCGTAACCCACCGGGGGCTGGGACTAGCCAGATCTATTTGTGCGCGCGCCAAATTTGGAGACAACGGGAAGTAACGCAAAGTTTGGCGAATATATTTCAGGTTACAGGTCCTGAAGCTCCTATATTTACACGACTGGGAGACAATTTATGAGTTTCCCTGCTTACGCAAGCGAGACTTAATATGATTTGAAAGGCAGCGAAGAAATAATAATTACATCACCGCAAATTACATCATGTCCAGATGGATGTTACTAAGTATTTAGCTCTTTTTACGAATGATATCATTGGTTCGTAAGCACACGCTTAAACTTTCGTTCCTCCTTTATAATTATCAAGTCTTAACTTTGATTCTGCTTTACAATTCTACATGACTTGGATACATGTATTAGACTACAAAAATGTCATTTTCACATAATCGAAAAATTTGCATTTTTTCAAAGTTTGGTCAAAATTGGAAATTTTTTTCGAGTCTGTTTTTCTTTAGCCTGCGTGGCAGGCGTTTGAAAGGGATGGGAAAGGGAGTTTTAGGCGCGAGAGAAACGCGAGGGGGCGCGCGTCGTCTCGCGCCCTAATTCCCTTCCCCTTCCTTTTCGAACGCCTACCACGCAGGCTAGTTTTTCTTTGATAAAGGCCTAAACATGTATTTTTATGATATTGTTTATAGAAAAGGAAGCTTTTTAGACTATAAAAATGTCATTTTCACATAGTCGAAAAATTTGTGTAATGTGATGTTGTATATGATAAAGATTCTAAAAAGCCTTCTTTTTAAAAGAAGGCTTTTCAGACTTTAAAAATTTTCATTTTCTATTTTTCCAAAGGTTTCCCATGATTTTGGTCAAAAATTCGAAATTTCGTTTGAGTTTGCTTTTCTTTTAAAAAATGCCTTGACATGTATTTTTATGATGTTGTGGATAAAAAGCGGGCTTTTTAGACTTTCAGATAGTCAAAAATGTGCATTTCCCCCATGATTTTGGTCAAAAATTCGAAATTTCTTTCGAATCCGCTTTTCTCTGAAAAATGCCTAGATATGTATTTTTATGATTTTGTTTATTAAAAAAAGGCTTTCTAGACTATAACGTGATTGTGTGACGAACGCCTAAAGATCGTCTGCTTGAGAGGGTTACCAAAATTTGCCATTTTAAGGGAGATTTGCGCATGACTTTTCAAAGGAATCCGTTAAAGCAAAGTACCTCACATTCATAAATCATTTGATAGAAAAAGGGGAGAAATGATGGCGTGACGAACGCCTAAGAACGTCTGCGTGGAAGGCTGAAGGTAGAAGGGTTATCAGAATTAATGAAATGATCCCTAAAGAGAAAATTTTCTTTTGATCTTTTAACAAATTCTCTCAACCAATTTTTCAAGAAATGTATGGAGGCCAGTCTGGCGAATTTGTATGTCGATCGAGGTGTTTAAAGGGTTAAGACATGAGAAGCAAACTCTCACCTTCCTCCATGCTCCAGACGCAGTTAATCGATAAAAATCGTTATCGGAAATCACTAGATATCATCGATATTAATCGATTTAATCCACCGATTGATATCGATTGATATCGGAAATCGATAGAAATCGAGGTAAGAAAAAATAATTTACCGATTATTATCGATTAACAAAATCGATAACAAACGATAGGAATCGATAAAAATTCGTTATCGATTTCTATCGGAAATCATCGATATTAATCGAAGTCACAACTTTTTTTCTTTTTCGATTTCCATCGATTGATATAGGAAACCAATATCAATCATCGACTAATATCGATTACTATCGATACGTCTGGCATGCTGTCCTCCCCACGCCGAAACAGAAGGCGAAATTGTCCAAGTGCCCAACTACCCCTCGCAGAAAATAGACGATCAGATGATAAGGTTTTCCAGGATTTCGTAGTTGGAGTATTCAAAGGACACCAGAATTGACATCTCCTCAGAGGTGGAGCTTTCGCAACTTAGTAGGGACGTGATTGGTCCTATCGGCTTGTGCGTTTTCCACCTGAAATCTGAAACTAGAGGGGCTATGTCTCGCTGTTTGCTATCATTTTAAAAAGGTTAAACCTGTCTTCGCATCACTTGAATTCCAAAAACAAGGGTACACATTTGTTATAAGGCTTTATTTAGGTACTGAAACTGTTTCCTGTTGACTATGGATGACAAGGATGGACATGGATTGAAACGTGACAAAGTTGAGCCAACATTTTCAAGTTTTATCTTATGGTATCCCTTCAAAAATCACCAAACAAAATGTTGTAGTTAGTGCTCCCTGATGAAATTTGTTTGATATATTTGTTATAACCCTACAGGGGCATTTTGTGTTTGGGTAAAGGAATCATTATACGTTTCCGGGAAACTGCCCACCTACCCCTCCCCTAAGCCAACATTTTGCCTTAAGTGAGAAGTAACTGTTAATGTTGGCTTAGGGGAGGGGTAGGTGGACATGTTCCAAGAAACGTTGAATGAAAAAGAACATGACACCCTAACAACTCTTTTAGACAAGAGTAGCCTGTTCCAGGCTCTCAGATAGTGGGGAAGACGCGAACGTAAATGGCACGCGAAAAGTTGGCGGGGCGAAAAAGAGGAAAAGGAAGCCGCGATTTTGGTCAAAAAAATTCCAAAAAATTGTATTTGATTTTTCTTAAAATACACTTAAAAAAGAGTGTCTTCATGTTCTAAACAAAAAAGAAACCTTTTTAGACCACAAAATGGGATTTTTTTTATAAGGCCAAAATTCCCATTCTTCCAAAGAGTTTAACCCACGATTTGGTCAAAAATATCTAAAATTTTTGTTTGTTTGTTTTTTTGCCAAAAAAAGCTTTCAAACAGAGTTTCTTGATGTCCTAAATACAAAGGAAACCTTTTTAGACCGTAAAAATGGGATTTTTTCTTAAGGCCAAAAATCGCAATTTTCCAAAGGGGTAACCCACTATTTTGGACAAAAAAATTCAGACATTTTTTTTTTTGCTTTTTCTCAAAATGCCCTTAAAATAGAGTTTCTTCATGTTCTAAACAAAAAAGAAATATTTTAAGACCGCAAAAAAGGGATTTTTTCATAAGGCCAAAAATTGCAATTTTTCAAAGGGGTAACCCACGATTTTAGTCCAAAAAATTCCAAAACATTTTTTTTTTGCTTTTTCTCAAAATATTCTTAAAAATAGAGTTTCTTTATGCTCTAAACAAAAAAAATCATTTTTTGACTCTGAGAATAGTGGGATCTTTTCATAAAGTCAAAAACCGCAATTTTCAAAAGGGTTTAGCCCACGACTTTCAAAATTCTTCGTTGTTTACTTTTTGATTAAAAAAAGCTTGAAAATAGAGTTTCTTGATGTTATAAATGAAAAGGAAACCTTTTTAGACCACAAAAATGGGACGTTTTTATAAGGCCAAAAATCGGAATTTTCTAAAGGGGCTAACCCATGATTTTGGTTAAAAAAAATTTTAAAAAATTATTTGTTTTTGCCAAAATAAGCTTAAAAATAGAGTTTCTTGATGATCTGGAGTATTAAAACGGGAACTTTTCATAAGGCCAAACTGAATCGCAATTTTTCAAAGAGGTTCTAGATAAAAAGAAAATATTTAAACTTTGTTCGACAATTAAAAAATGGGAACCTGTCATAGGGCCAAAAATCCCAATTTTCGAACTGGTTAACCCGTGATTTTGGTCAGAAATTTCCACTTTTTTAAAAGTTAATTTAGGATGGCGACTTTGTAAAATCGATATTTTTATTGTCTAAAAAGCTTCTTATTAAAGTGGAACATTGCTAAACGTTTCTTAGGGCTATCTTACCAAAAAAAAAACAGAAGAGCAAGAAATTTTAAATTTTTGCCGAAATCATAACTTATTTTAAAACCCCTTTAAAAGGATTCAATGTGATCATTCGATATTTTTATAGTCTGGCCATGCTTGTTTTTAATTTTATTTAAAACATAAACCACTTTATTTCTAGACTTTCTAGGCCTTTTATCATGTAGCTCAAATACGAGAAGTAAAAAAAAAAAGGATTTCAGCGTTTTTTCGCGGACAGACTTCAGACCTCTGGGCCCAGTTGTTCGAAACGCAGACTTTCTAGGCCTTTTATCATGTAGCTCAAATACGAGAAGTAAAAAAAAAAGGATTTCAGCGTTTTTTCGCGGACAGACTTCAGACCTCTGGGCCCAGTTGTTCGAAACGCAGATAACGCTATCCACTGGATAAATCTCTATCCTGTGGACAACGCAATTGGTTTCCCTAATACTTATCCGCTGGTTAGTGATTTTTCGGTTGGATAGCGCTATCCCGGGACCAGATTTTTTAGCCTGCGTAAATAAATGCTTTGCGGTCGTAGGACGAACACATATTTTTCTTACACGAAGTACAAAGTGAGGTTTACCAACATGGCGGCCTCGAAGGTCGAAATCAATTTCCGCCGTCTTTTGGAACGCTGCGAAGCGATGGCCTCAGAAATCCAGGAGAATAAAGAAAACGTAAGCTGGAGGTTGGAAAAAGTGAGTTATAGCATTCATAAAAAAAATTGTTTTCTACTGTTACCCTTCATAGGATTTGAACAAACTGTCGACCCCACTAGCTGTCTGGTCGCGTTTGTAACAATTTTTCACCGTTTTTCTACTCCATATTGCAGTATGTTTTAACGTTACAGAGGCAAGCTGCCGAACAAAAAAATTCAGAAAGGTTAGTTTTTAAATGCAGAGTATTAAGATAAAAGTTAAACGAGCAATACGTCAATGTAAAATAGTGCTTTTAAATAACACAGCTGATCCAGGTAGTCTTTACTCTGACGGGTCTTTATGTCTGGTCGATTGTATTTATTAATAATATTTTAGTCATCACAATAGAGCTTTTTTATCAGTACCTGACCCAGTTAAATAAAGGAGGAGAAAGTTTTTTCATATTAAAGGAAAGAGTTCAACGTCGTGGTATAACGACAGTAGACGTAGCTACAATTGTAGTTCATTGTTTAGTTTTGGTAACCCAATATGGCGGACTAAAGTATACCTGTATCGTACAAACGCGCTATAATGGTAAATCTAATTAATTGATATCAACTAATCTGGCAATGGAAACGAGACCCATATGCACATTTCCCCTGTTACCGTATGTGTGTACTAACTGTTAAACTTTTATCAAATACACCTTTTGCTGATCATTTAGGCGAAAAAGATATTCATTTTCGCGAATTGTAGAATCAATATCACTTTCGATTGTCATAAGATGTTAATGATTTTCTTTTGGTGATACTGATTGTCAATTGCGCGTGTTTAAATGTCCACTTGGCGTCCTTGATTGTCGATAGATGCTCTTGTTTGTTCGTTGACACTATTGAAGGTTTATAAACGTGCAAATTGCGCTCTTGAATGTTCCGTGGCGTTGATGAAGTGCTTCTTGGTGTTATAGAATGTATATTCGCCTTATTGATTCTACACTAAGCGAAAATGAATATCTTTTTCGCCTAAATGATCAGCAAAAGGTGTAAAAGTGAACGTCTCTTTTACAGTGCAGTAAGTAAGCTCATCCATAACCTGGATTAGACAGGACTCCAGCCTTGAAAATAACTTTTTTTGACCCTGTTGGCTTCAGTTTGGCGTAAAAACAAGGTGGGGGCCCACACCCCTCGGCACCTTCCCCTAGATCCTAGATCCTGTCTATCAGTAGCGTAAAGGTAGACATCTCCCTTCGGTAGAAGGCAGCGGTTGGCTGGTCTTAGCTAAATTTAAGTTGTCTAGCAGTATACAACATTCTGAAAGGCAGATGACTTGTGTCTGTAACGTACTGTAGGCATCAGTGGTCAGGGATGTAGATAATAGCCGGGAACCGGGAAAAATACCCGGATGTCAACATAATTTTTCCAGCTGAAAAAAAATGCAGTCTTTAAAAAGGCAACTGTTTTCTTCTCCTGTTATCTGCCCATCAAATGCCATTTCCCATCAGTTATAAATTTAAGCTACATCCTTGGTGGTTGGCTGTTATCAGCTTCCGAGTTTCACTTTTTTGTCACTCTGTAACTAAAGTTTCTTCAATTCAAAGCAAACATTCACATGGTGAAAAAAACCTCTAATGAAGATACTGGTGGTTGTTTAATTTTTTGCATCACCAATAAGTGTAGCTAGCATTTCAGGTCATGCCTCTTATGATTAAAAAAGCGGACCTTTTCAAAAACTGGGAAATCAAAATAGTTTGGTTCCATCAGCTTGTCGAGTCACATGTAAGATACATTTTTGGAAATAATCAAAACTTTAAATATGACTTATTTTTTTGTCTTGTTACAGCAAACCAAGTCCAGACACAATGACTGAATACAACAAGAAAGTAGAGTTCCTTAAAGGTTTAATAGAAACACGGAAAATGGTGAGACAAGGATCAATGTTTTGAAATCTTAAGATGCCAATCTGCTGTTGCATGCAAATGAGAAAAATTATTGTTTAGGAATAACTAGGAAATGATTGTCAGCAGAGAATATACAAGTACAATAAATTGTATATCATTTGCACGTGACCTTCCATACATTGTCTCTGTTTTATTTATGTGAGAAAAACTTACATGCATATGCACGTAAAAATTATGCAACAGTGGAAATCTACCAAAAGTCATAAGGGGAAAATCCAGGCACCCTTCAATTTCTACTGGCTCTGAAAATACCATGATAATTTAGGTTTGTTAGAAGCTCTCAAATTCTCCTTTCCAAGGGTTTGTTCCCTTTAATTTTCTATTTTAGTTAGTGTAGATCCATGTAAAATAAGACTTACCTTCATTTTATTATGTAGAAATCACCAACAGAAAAACTTCTCGCCAGTCGGAAGTTAGTGCGTCCGCTGAGTCAAACATCCAATGCACTGCAGACCACAGAGGCAGACAAAGGACAAACAGTAAACAGAGCACAAGAACTACACATCAGGGCCAAGTCACAGATTAATAAAGAGATGAGAAGTGAACTTCTGGGAAAAGGTGAGAATAATGCAGCTAAAAATATTTCACTTCTGATACAATGAACTTGTAAGTTAGTTTATTTGATATTTTGTTGATTTTTGCAAGGATCATGCACATTACTGGCTTACATTTCTCGACACATTATGAAGGTTTTCTTAGCTTAATATTGTGAGTCACAAAACTAAGGACCTTCAGGGCACCTTACCATGACACATTAATTTTGCCTTGTTTTTTGGGCATTTTGTGACCTGAAATACTTTTATTTTTTAAAAATATTGAACAAAATTATTTAATTGATTTATTAGTGCTAGAAGTTAACTAGGAACCTTGCTCATTTTCCAGACAGTAAGAAAGACAGTCATGGAGTGCGAAACAGGTGACTGATTATATTTTACTTGCATATTACTAGTTTGGTCCCTTAGCCACTGTAATAGATAGCTCTTCATTTTTAAATCCCCCATAATCACTCTGTTTGCTCGCTACATTTAGCATAAACTGTGGTCTTCAAATGTAGCCTGCGAGCAAGCTCTTCAGGGTGCTCTTGCAGCGGGAAAAAGCTGATGCGAAATGCTTATTGGCGGAGATGACATTGGTAATGATGTCATTACCCTTGATGCGTGCTTTCATGTGTTTTTCAATACNACATTTCTCGACACATTATGAAGGTTTTCTTAGCTTAATATTGTGAGTCACAAAACTAAGGACCTTCAGGGCACCTTACCATGACACATTAATTTTGCCTTGTTTTTTGGGCATTTTGTGACCTGAAATACTTTTATTTTTTAAAAATATTGAACAAAATTATTTAATTGATTTATTAGTGCTAGAAGTTAACTAGGAACCTTGCTCATTTTCCAGACAGTAAGAAAGACAGTCATGGAGTGCGAAACAGGTGACTGATTATATTTTACTTGCATATTACTAGTTTGGTCCCTTAGCCACTGTAATAGATAGCTCTTCATTTTTAAATCCCCCATAATCACTCTGTTTGCTCGCTACATTTAGCATAAACTGTGGTCTTCAAATGTAGCCTGCGAGCAAGCTCTTCAGGGTGCTCTTGCAGCGGGAAAAAGCTGATGCGAAATGCTTATTGGCGGAGATGACATTGGTAATGATGTCATTACCCTTGATGCGTGCTTTCATGTGTTTTTCAATACTTGTTTAGCTTCGTGCGCATTTCTGCTTTGCACTTACTTGCAAGCTCTCCTTCCTTTTTCTGCCCTGCTGCCACAGTGTGATCTGGAGAGATTGCTTGCACGCTACTTCAAATGCTCCTGGGAGAAGTGCATAATTTCAATGGCATTTGAACACAAAAACTTTACTTATATGCAAAGCCTGGGAGGCAAAAGCAATGTTTTTTGTGGTAATTCAAAAAATAATAGTTAATGGAAACAAATCCCTGATAGCAAGTCAGTGTTAATGCTCTGGTGTTAACTTTTAACATACTTTCTGCAACATTGAATTGTTAGTTAGTGTGGTGAACAATTAAAATCTGCCTTCTATAGCTTGTGTTCCAGCTCCAGGCCCACACATTTTAAAACCTCAGAGTGTGTTCCATTTGAATGATCTAAATAAGAATCAGTGACCTGTGATCACTCAGATTGTAGCAAATTATTCAAATAAGGATCACTCAGATTATAGCACTTCAAAGGATCAGACAAATCGACCCTGGGAAAGGATTCATCAGTTCACTTGATGTACCATGATCTGAATAATCTCTAATCTAAATCACTCAAAGGAACTCACCCTTAGGCTATAATTATAGCTAGGCTATACGTGTAGTGTCTGCCATACACTGGATACCTGTTTTTGACAAACCTTTTTCTTGAAGATTAACAGGCAACAAGAAAAGTGATGCAAATGATGAAAGCATTGACTCAGTTCTACAATACCATCAGAACTTACAAGAAAATATAGCAGAGGAAATGATAAAAAATGGCTCAGCATATAAAACATACATCTGTCATGGCCAGCAACATTATTAAAGAAGATAACAAGGTTACTAGGATGTTTGTCCTTTCAGAACAGTAAATAACAAGTTATTAGATGAGGTCTTTTCCTGACATATGAAACAGAGTAGGTCAAGTAAATG